GGTCCAAATAAAACTTTTAGAGATAAAAATCAAAATATCTAAGACCAAAAAATACACTAGAAAGAATTAAAAACAGACAAGACATTGGGAAAAAAAAAAAAAGGATTCGGGAACTTGAAAGTATCTATAAAAACTAAAATAAAACTCAGAGTTATAAATACTTTAAAAATAATTAAAAATGCATCAGTAATCAATGGTACAACTCAAATGGCCTAATGTATCAGAGACCCTGAAAGACAGAAAAGAAAGATGTAGGGGGAAGAAATTATATTTTAAAAAATAATTAACAGTTGAAAACTTTCCAAACCTAAGAAGAAGATCCAACAGATCCAAATAGTCCAATGAAAACTAGGCACAAGAAACATGGAAAAATATGCACCAAAGCACATCATAATGAAATTGCTCAAGAGAAGTAATAAATAGAAAAGTCTTAAAAGCATTAAGGAAAAAGAAGGCATGTGATGTACAGAGGTACAAAGATAAGAATGATATCAGACACACCACCAGCAAGAAGATGGATTTGAACATTGAAAGAAGAAAATACTTATTAAACTTGAATTTTGTACTCAGAAAAAAAAAGTTTTAAAAACAAAGTAAAATAAAGATATTTTTAGACATATAAAAATGAGAGGATTTATTATCAGCAGAATGGCAGTGAAGAAATGCTAAAGAATGTCCTTTGGACCAGATACAGTAGCACACACCTGTAATCCCAGCTACTCAGAAGGCTGAGACAGGAAGATTGAAAGTTCAAGGACAGCCAGGGAAACTTAGGGAGACTCTGTCTAAAAATACAAAATAAATTGGCTGAAGATGTATACCCAGTACAATACACACACACACACACACCAAAAAAAAAAAAAAGAAAACAGTAAATATTCTTTTACTGCATAATTTGAGATATAATTTTGAACATATTTGATCATTTAAAAAAAATAAAAATACACCCCCCTAAAAAATAAGTTGCATGTTCTAAACCATAAAACAATTACTTAGAACAATAAGAGATTAGCTACCAAATCAAAAAGGGGATACAATGAAATTCATAGAAAATTATTAATACTAAAAGGGAAGAAAAACAGGAAGATAGAAAGAATAAAGGGGACAAATAGAAAACAAACATCACCATGGTAGTTTTAAGCCAAACTATATCATAAATCACATCAAGGTAATGGTATAAATATTTCAATTTAAAGCCAGAGATTGGCAGATTATATATGTTCCATACATAATCTATATAGATATGGAAAAGCTCTAATTATTTGGAAACTCTGTAACACTCAGAATAACCCCAGAGTCAAAGAAGAAAGCAAGAGGAAAAATAGTAATGTGAACAGAATAAAAAATGAAAATACAACACTACATACTGTGACAGATGCCAATAAAGCAGTATTTAGATGGGAATCTATAGCATTTATCATCATTATTAGAAAAAAAAAAAGTGTTTCAAAGCCATTGCCTTGGATTTCACCTTAAAAAATAAAGTCCAGAGTGGTGGAACACCCCTGAAATTCCAGTGAGTTCCGAAGATGAGGTAGAGAATCCCAGGGTTGAGGCTGGAACTAAGGAACTAAGGGAGACCCTGCCTGCAAATTTTTAAAAAGGACTGGAACTAGGAGTGGTGGCAAACACCTATAATTCTAGTGGCTGGAGAGAATGGGGCAGGAAGATCTCAACTTTATAGCCAGCCTCAGAAATTTAGCAAGGCCCTAGGAAACCTGGTGAGACCCTGTCACACACACAAAAATATACAAAGGGCTGTGGGTGTGGCTCAGAGGTTAAGCACCCCTAGGTTCAATCCCTGGTAACAAACAAACAAACGAGCAAATAATAAATCAGTAAATGGCTAGGAATGTAGTTCAGTGTTCAGTGGTAAATAATTCCCTGGGTTCAACCCCCTGTACTACAAAAAAGGAATTTTGGAAAATACATAGCACTCAGAATCACCCCAGAATTAAAAAATAAAAATTTTAAATAAAAAAAAATTAGAAAGAACAAATTAAATCAAAGGCCAACAGAAGAAAGGAAATAATGAAGATCAGAGATCAATGAAATTCGTTTTCCTTGTTCACCAAAGATCAGAGATCAAAATCAGATAGTGCTGTAGGGCTCTTGCTTAGAATTTCATCCAGGAATAAAAATGATTCCCAACACCATTTTATAGGAGAGATGACTAAGGAAATATGTGCAAGCTGCAGAGGAGGGGAAAGTACAAGCTGCAGAGAAGAGAGAACAAGCATTTCTGCTGGTTAGACATCCAGTTTGGAAAGAGAATCCATTCTCTGGAATTACTATTTAGTGTCAGGATTTATGTAACCCAACAGCCCCAATTCTTCCCTGTCTATTACTTTCTTTAGTCCTATTTCCAAAGTTCCTATAAAATGAGAACCAGGGATACAGTGCATATCTTCAATAATCCTTTATGGCTGATGTTAATTCTCTTTGTTCTTCATCTTCTCAGATGACTTATCAAACTCTATCACTCTTTCTTCTTTCCTCATTCTCCCCACTCTTAGGATTTAGAGCCTCAGAAATGAAAAACAGAAAAAGCAGAACTCGTAAGTGGAAACTCTTTGCATAAAGTTACCAAGCACATTTCTGGGCAATACAAATGGAAAACAGCTCTATATTCTACCACATGTCCTGCGCCTGCTGTGGTAGCAGCCCTCCCCTGCCCCACCTAGGGCCCTAAACAAACTCCCTCATGTTATGTCCAGCAAGCTGCTGTTGTCCTCTGCAATGGGAAAGGAGAAGTGGCTTTGATGTGGTGTTGGCTAAAACTTTGTGAGAGGGGCATTATTATTAATCCCACTTTAATGAAGAGGAGACCAAATCCTAGAAAGCAATTTGGCCCACATCACATAACAGCAAGAAGAACTTAAACACAGACTGACTTCAGATTTCTTGCTGTTCTGCCACACCACACAGGTTTTAAACTAGCCGTACTTTATCCTAGAAAATATTCATTATATTTTTATTTCGTTTATCCAACTTCTTTTTTCAACAAGTGCTTAATGAAACCTGCACAGTCTCTTTTCTCATAAAGGGTTTTGTAAAATTCTAAAGTTTGATTTTTTGAGAAACTTCCATACTGTTTCTTATAATAGGAACTACACCATTTTACATTCTCACCAGCAATGTACAAATGTTTCAAATTTCTTGTCATCTTTGCCAATGCCTGTTTGCATCGTTTTGAGTTTTGTTTTGTTTGTTTGTTTTTGATAATAGCCATCCCAAAGTGTGCAAAGAAGAATCATTTTCATTTCCTGAATGATTAGTAATGCTGAGCTTTTCATGTGCTTATTGATAATTTGGATATCTTCTTTTCTTGGCAGTGGCGGGGGGAGGTACCAGGGATTGAACTCAGACCACTGAGCCACATCTCCAGCCCTATTTTATATTTTATTTAGAGACAGGGTCTCACTGAGTTGCTTAGTGCCTTGCTTTTGCTGAAGCTGGCTTTGAATTTACCATCCTCCTGCCACAGCCTCACAAGCCACTAGGATTATAGACATGCGCCACCGTGCCTGGCAATTTGGGTATCTTCTTTGGAGAAAAATCTGTTCAAGTTGTTTTCCCATTTTTATAATTGGGTTTTTGCTATTGTTGAATAATAGGAGTTCTTTACCTAGTTTGGGCACTGCCCACTGGCTGCCCCCCATGCAGTTCTCTGCCTCCCATGTGAGTTCTGTCTTCCCATGCATTTGTTCCCTGCCCCTTACCCCATTACAAAACAAGTTACAAGGAAGTTACTCTTCCTTTCCCATGCAGACCAATTCAGCTATTTTTCTCAGAGGCCTTGGCCTTAGATTTACTCTTTGACCCGCAGGGACTTAGAGACTTATCTTTACAAATAAAGACAGTTTCTCCACATAAAGAATTCTGCCAGCTATGGAGAGGGTCAATTTCCATGCCTTAAAGAGGAAATAATGAGGCAGGAGAGGAATACAAAGAAAGAAATCTTTTCTTGGGTGAACAGCAGGATAGTAGTATGTCAGAGACCCAGAGGATTATGGGAACAGCATCCATGCCAGATTCAGAATATTTCAGTTATCTACACTGCAAAAGGCCTCTCCAACATAGTCACAAAACAAACAGCTCATTATTTTCTTACAGTTGTGTGGATCAGAAACTCATACAGATCCTAGTAGGGATGGCTCCTCTCTGTTTTGCTTTGGAAAAGTTCTTTCATGGAAATGCATCCTCAAGACTATGGATAGAATCAAGATTTCTTCCATGGAAAAGTGCAAAGCCTACACTAAGAGTGCACAGTGTTCTCTTTAAATGCCTAAGCTGTGTCTGCAGAACGGTGGCAGCTGCCAGCCAGGATGAGAGACAGGAGTTGATGAGGTGGGGTGCTTTCCCCTGGTGTATTGTGCTTTATTGGTCATAACAAAGGATCTATGCAGCTGGTATGTGGCGGAGATGCTCAGAGAGCCCTTTCTCTAGGTCTATTATGCGATTCTGAGAAAGGAAGCTCAGGCAAGCTCAATACAAATACATCCTCTGTGTAGACGTCAAATGCCTTGTGACGTTGGTTCTTCGGGGCTTTTTTTAGTGAGGATATTCCATTCTTATGAATTTGACTTGAATTTGGCTTTGTTCCCTGACAGAATGCAATGTAGGCATAATTTGATCTTCCTGTAATTGTCTGTTTAACTTGGCAATCCAGACTAATTTTTTCCTGTGAAGTGAGCCCAGAACGTCACTAGGACAGTGGTTGGGTTAATTAATGAGGCATAATAATGTGCATAATAAAATCTTATGATCTGATTTCTCTTCCCACTATTTTCCTCTCTCCTTCCCAATAGAGAACTGCTGGCCTCACCGGAATCTGTGAGTCACGTTTTGTTAAAGAAACCTCTACTTGTAAACAACAGAAAGAGGGAAATAATAACTAAAGAACCATCTGTTTGATTGAGTCCTTGACTTTTTTTTTTTCCCGTTTCCCCCCATTGCATGTTAAAGGAAGTAAATTTAAAAAAAAAATTCTAATAATATTGCTGTTTACTGATTACAGGATAACTTTTATTGTATTTATTTTAAATGCCATTCTGAACCACACCCAAAGCCTTAATCATTTTTCTTCTTACTGTTCCTCCTCACTTATGCTCTTTCTTTGTAGTTTGTGGCTGGTTACATTTAATTTTATTTCCAAGCTTGTTCAAATACTCACAGCCGAGTGTCACCAAAGATAACTGTGGGAGTCATAGCTTGCTTTGACATCAAGTCAACTGGGGAAAAGAAGTTGTCTTCACAAGTGTCAATGACAAGGCATGTGCACACAGAGCACAAGGTCTGGTGTTAAGTCCCAACAGTTTCACCTGATATGTCTGGAGATTTGGAGACATCATTAAACACTCTCCTCATCTGAAAAAAAAATGTGGATTTAACAATTTTAATTCTATAAATATTTACTAAGTACCTACGTTCTATGCAGTAAGCTCTGAGCAACACCTGAATATGGTAATAGAAATACCAACTGTGCCCATAACAAGGAATCATTATTAAGATCAAATGAGAGGAAGCACATGAAGTTCCCTATAAATTACAAACCACTGCATAAGTGTAAGATGTTATCAACGTTATTATTACTGTAGGACACTTGATGGTTGAATTGGCTCCTTCATGACCTCGGGCCAAGTTGATTACCTTATCTCATCACTTGGCTCCGGCAAGGAAATAACAGTCCACGGAGTAAAGCTTAACTTAAGCATGTCTATGCTTAATCCTTCCTCAGAGGGGGAAAAAATGCCCCCATATTAGGATTCCTCAGTTGATGCCGTTCTGCCAAATAGCTGTCATTGAGCCATGATTTACTTCACTTGAAAATTCCTTGATTTCATAACTCCAACATTTCTCTAAAAATTAGTGCCATTCTTGATCAAAGTCAAAATTCATCTAAAACAACTTGGTTAAAAAGAGAACATAAATGCTGAGAGGCCTGGCACACAATGTGACGTGCTTGCATTTGGCTCTCATCATGGCCAAGAGCTGGGAAGTTCAAATCTTACTAACAAAAGATCTGGATGGAAAGGGTGCATTCCATGTGAGTCAGAGGTGATGAAGTCATAATACAGCTTCTAGCCCGACCAACTTCTTGAAAACTAGGCCCCTCAGGAAGCAACAGTAATCAGCAAAGGAAAGATGCAACCCATCCTGCTGCTGATGACATGGATTAAGTCACTTCCAGACATGTGGGCAGAGCACTAATCTGTTATCTTCAGTAATCCACCTCCAACTTTTGGGAAGTTGTGACAAATACTTTTATTGCTTCCCAACTATGTGTATACTTGCTACATATATAGTTGGTATTTAATAAGTATTTATAAAAATAAAGTTGCTAAATCCATATTTTTCACATGAGGAAAGTATTTAATGAAATCTCCAAACTCGGCCATACCAGGTGAAACTGTTAGGACTTCATGTCGTAATTTACACCCTGTGTCCATTAGGAACATTCTCTGGCATGCAGTATTTTTAAATTAATTGAAAAGAGTCTTACTTTGAGAATTGGTTATGGGGACCTACTTGCTACAGTAGGAAAAGTGAATCCATCAAAAATATTACCAAGATATTGCAAAAGTAGTGTTTAGCGTCACTATTCTAATTCAAAGGACAGTGGTGCAAATACACTAATAAACACGGTGCTTATCTTCCAAGAGTTTATGATTTTAGGTTAACAGCTATCTGCATCAACATAAGAATCTAAGATTAAAATAAACATGGCTTAAAAATTCAAGGCAAAAATGGTAATGGTATGTAACAGAAGGAAAAGATAAGAGAGTTGGAATTGGGAACCGTTTGGGGAAGTTACAGAAAAGGATTCAAGGGCATATCAACTTTAATTACTCAAGAATGTTTTGCACACAGTATTTGAGGAATGATTTAATAGGTGTGCCATTTCTTTCTTGGGACTAATCTCAAAAAGAAATTGGGCAAAACCATCTTTCTGGAGGAAATATCAGTTTATAATCCAGTAGTTCAGATAAGAACTGAATGAAAATTATCCAAAACTAAAAGGCAAGGCAAGCTAAGTGCAATTTAAATGGCTAACTAAAGTGATCCAGGAAAACTTACGATGGTAGTAATATTTGAAGTGGGCCGAAGGTCATTTTCCTTTCTCTACTCTCTGAAAATTTCTCTTCCTTGATCAATTTCTATAACCAAAGTCCATTCACACTTCTAGGCAGCAACTTGGTCCTTGAAATAGAGCTGTCCCATCTGCTTGTGACCTTGCTGGGGGGTGTTGTACAGCCTGTTTTTCATGCACACAGTCTGTTCCCACAATGCCCAGATGCCTTCCCGTCATCTTCTGCTCAGAGCCATGTCCCTCTCCTTTGTCTCCTTGGCTCTTAGATTCCCTGGCTAATAAGGATGGGATTCAGCTCTGAGCCCACTACTTAGTGCTGACCAGCTTTACCTTCCATTGACCCTCACCATACTCTTACTACTGTACTCCCCTTGTTTAGCAGATCTTCTCTGTGAAGAGAATAGATCTTCCTACCATTTGCATCTTGCCAGTGGATCTGTGTCACCTGGGCTAGCTCAACTGCATCCTTCTAGCTGGGAAAAAGCATTGACCCTTATCAAACAAGTGTGTGATCCATATGTTATTAAATAATTATTTACAGAGCACTCACTTGTGCTGGGCTCTGTTTCACCTATTAACAAAACACAAGGCCCAGTCTTTTGTGAAGATCATGTGTAAGCGAGGGAAACATTATAAATAAACTTGTAATAAATAAGATGATTCACATTTTATAACTAATAAAAAAACAACTGCTGTGTCATAAATAACAGCCTACATCTGTTAGATGTTTTTAATATGCATTGTTCCAAGCATCTGATGTGGGTTATCTCATTTAATCTTTAGAACCTGATGAAATAGGGGTAATTATTATCTGATTTTTGCAGGTGAAGAAATTAAAGCTCAGGGATGTGAAGAAAATTTCCCAGAGTCTTGCAACTGCTAAAGTTCCACGACTGGGATCTAAAACTGGGCAGCCCAACTCTGGAGACTGTACTCTTAACAAAGATCTTATCAGGAGGCGATTCTTCTGAATAGAGACCTCAATGAGATATAGCAGAGAATACAAATGCTTTTGACTTCTGCATTGTCAAATGGAGATGCTTGGCAACAGCATCCTCAAGGAATCCAAAATGGTATGAATACTGAGACCCCCTTCTCTGCTGGAAACTTGTTCAAAGCCTTTTCAAAGTGCGGTTAATTCTAAACGTGTAAAGTCTCAAGATCTCAGGATATCCCCTTCCATCAGAGCACAAGGCCCTGTGGGTCCAAGCCCAGAGCCTGGGCTTAAAGGATGCCCCCCAGAGTCACACCAAGAAGCAACTCTGTCCATCCCTTGCTTTCCCAGGAGGGTTCATAGGCAACTACCATATGGCTTCTCTACCAGCTTTTCCTCCAGAAAAACAGTGAAACCTCAGTATCTCCTCTGAGTTTATTTTCCTTGCAATGTTATATATGCTCATTATACTAGCTTTGGAAAATGAAAAACAATACTCATACCTATCATCTAAAAACGTCTTTATATCTATCTCCTTCTGTGTATTTCCATCCTTTTATTCCATACAGATTTTATTGTGTGTTAAACTTATACTGTACATTTTGCTGAATGTTACATTATGTAACCTTCTAACACACATTTCCCCATGTTATAGAGCACATTAAAATTCATGTATGACTATTATGTGTGTAGGTCATGATTTATAGAAAACTCCCCCACTTTTGGACCTCTAGATTGTTTTCAGTTTTGTACTATTGTAAACAACAATAAGGTTGCCATCTTGATAATTAAGCAAGATGTATTTTACTGTACTATAGATTATTCCCTTTGGATGAATTCCTTAATTTAGAATTATTGGATCAAAATGCATGAATGCAATAAACCTATGATGCATATATCTAAAATGCTTTACAGGGAGAGTATACAAATCCCAACATACTGTCGTACATTACCAGTAATTGCTTTATCATCTCTAGCACTGGGCATTTAGAAAGGGAACTGGAAAGTCCTGAAGAAAACAACCCAAGTTTGCAATTTTCTACAGGCCCAAGCTTGAAGCATGTATCATAGAAGTTTTATCCAGAGATCTTAGAAATAAGCCAGAGGAGGAGGATTGACTGAATTGCAATAGGGAGACCTGGCGAATGGGTGGGGTCAGTCTACATAAGGGGTCTCACATAAAGAAGGTCAAGGACCTCTGGAATTTATAGATATATGTATTCTCCAAAAGAAGCCAGATAGAAAAAATATGTTACCAGAGGCCAATATGACCCATAAAAAATAAAATAAAATAAAATAAAAAACGAAGCCTCTAGACTTATTTGGCTCTTTCCCTCCAAATAGTTTGTTGTTTTACCTCAGGATGGTTTGAGTCATTCCATTAAGTTGTCTTCAGCTGTTTTCCATCCATAAATTCTTCCTTAAATGTGCTTCTCCTCTGAGCCCCAACCCAGAGAAGCAGTGATTAAGCAGTAGGATGAGAAGGGTCTTAGGAATGGATCCTTTAGTCACTGCTGAAGATTTTCTTTAATGTGCTAATGCCCTGCAGATCCAGGCAAGATTTAGAAAAGGCTAGAAATGCAGAGCTATCTTCATTGAAGCAAACATCTTTATTTATTTTGCCCTTGGCAGCAAGACAAGTTTATTTAATAACTACATAATTTATTATCAACTTTGAGATTAAGGATACCTAAAAACATCTCTTTTGCTTGTTCTTTGAATTAGCCAAGGGCAATTTAGGGATTTTGCCAAACAAGAAAATGGGGGAAAATCATCTACAGGGAAATAATAAGGTTTGGATGAGTCAAATTAAAACCATTCACTGTCCTCATAAATGGTTTAGAAAAATGAAATAAAATAGTTACCGCTGCTCTGAGCCATGACAAGCTCTCAGAAAATTTCGAAGGCAAAATGCCAGAACGTTAATCAGTCACCGGGGGAAGCAAGAAAAAAAAACAGAACCAGCCAACCTGGAAGAGAAGTATAAGAACCATGCACCAGGAAGAAAAGAAAAATGCAAGATCTTCTGACTCCCACTCCTGCCTCCAGAAATAACCATATTCAAAAAGACATGCAGTTCCCAACCAGTAACCTCTAGGGGCACAGTCACCCTAAGAATAGTCCAGCAGGGAAGGGCAACTGTTCACCAGATCAGGGCCAGTGAAGGAGAAATTTTGATTAGGAATTGCAAGCTGGTTGTCACCACGGTGGCCACATGTCTTGAGTTGAACTGGGTGTACTAATACTTTAACTTTTGGTCCAATAAAAATATGAAAATAGGTCATGTAATTTTTTTAAAAAAATAAATTTTTAAATTGTTCCCATTTCATTGCCAGGTACTAGAAGGTTAAATCTCAATCATCCTAAAACCTGGATGAGTGGAAATAGCAAAAGGAGTATTGTGAAACTGTAAGATACCAATGCCACACACACCCCCACACTTGACTCTCTGAGTCTAAAGATAGAAGCAGGCATTCCTTGTAGGACAGTCTTTTTAGTTGTTTCTGAATACTCTCCTGTCAGTTAAGTTCTCAGTACCCATGGTATTGCCCCTGGACTTCAATAAGGAAATCCATATGCAAATGTTTCCTATGATGATTTTGTTTAATGATGTGCCCCTAAGGGAGGAGGGATCCTATAGGAAACTTGCCCCACAGTGTTAGCTGGAGGTCTTGTATATTGGCAGAACACATAGGGAAGGATCCCTAGTCTCCCAAATGGTATTAAACAGAGTTGAAGAGAGGAACTAAAGTGAAAGCCAGGTTAATGAAGAGATGAAAGGAAGAGTTTTGAACAAGCTGGGAGAGCTAAGTGGGATAAGGATCAAACAAAAGAAGTCAAAGAAAATAGAAGCAATCCCTGACAACTTGGGATATTTGACATTGTACTTTTTCTGGACTTTATCCCTTTTCATTGTATTAGATTTTCATTTAAGGCAATTTGTGGGAAAATCACAGTTCCTCCTTAATGCAGATGTCATTGACTCAATACAAATCATTGAAGG